TGTTTTCTAACCCTTGTACAGGTGACTTTAATTCTGTACGGCTACTAGAAAATGTGATTTCTCCCATTTTTTAGAGTGGGACTTTTGGGCACTTAAACATGCACTTTGAAGAGTGGAGGGAGAGTTTTTGGTGGCAGGGAGGTTCTTTTCATTTTTCTTTCACTTTTTTTTAAAACTGATATTATGTTATGGCTACTCCTGAACCAAGATGCTAGCCTTTATTGATGATATGAGTGAATGCATTATGCATGTTTAGTGCATAGGTTTCTAAACTTACTTGGCGTACCACCCCTTTTCAGGGGGGAAAAACTGAAAACAAAAAAACCTCATTGCCTCCTGAGTAAGGCTAAAGTGATGGGAATTTGCTTTTACAATAGCCCTAGGTCATTGCAGCACCCCCCCACCCCAAGGAGGGTAGTATCGCCCACTTTGGGAAACACTGGTGTTGTGATAGACCACAAACAGAAAATCCTAGAGTTGAGGGAGAGAACCACTCCATTATTTCAAAGAATAGGGTAGATGTAACACATTGTTACCAATAGATGAAAATCTAACAGTTCATCTTTCAAGTAACTAGAGTAACCAGTAATAAAAAGAAAAGAGAACCTTAATATTATATATTGAATTAGGTCACCCACCTGATTTTCATGAAATTTGTTTTTATATCGAGACTAGTTATAAAACATTAACTTGTTACAAAAACTTGGAAGGTAAATAAGTAATCTCAGGACCATGTTTGAGCCATTTTTAACTTTTCTAAATTTGTTTTCAAGTTCATTAAAAAAAAAAGCAAGTTCTTTATGTTTTTATAACACATGAAAAATAATACTGCTGATGGAGAAAGTCGATTTTGACAACCTTGGAGACGGTTGTCCTTGTTCTTGATTTAGTCCCTGCACGAGGTGTTCCTCATTCTAAGTAAATGTGCTAACCAGAACTCTTTGGATCTAGTTGCCCTCCAGTGTTAGGGCGCACCTTCCTCATAAATATTGCTTTGAGGGGAGGCGAGGTGGGCATGCTGTCAATAGGATTCTGAGCATTCAGAAACAAAAATGTTTTGCCTTCCTTTTTTTGTTAGAAAAATGATGATATATATAGCTACTTAACATTGGTCGCCTTTTCAACATTCTTTACACGTGCAAGTGACCAGCCATTGGTTTTTAAGACTTTCAGAGATGTCAACTGGTAAAGCAAAAATGTGCTTCAGTATTAATAAAATACAGTACATAGACTTGTTTTGAAACACTCAATGCGATTGCAAGTGGGAGAGCTGGTTTTTTGTCTTATATTATTCTAATTGTCATCAGATCTTGAATTCTCTCAGAATGTGCCATGTGTACTGAGTGCGTGATTTCGTGCCTTGAAGCTCCCCTCCTTTCATTGATTCTATAAATAATGAGACAAAAAGCAAAGTTAGGGAGCTAATTTTGAGTCACTGGAAGTCCTGTTAGTTGTCAAGTTTCTGCATCTCCCTGCTCCCTGCACACACGCTTTCCAGACAGTACCTACCCAAGAAATCTGGTCTCCTGGGCAGCTCCAGATAGCAGTTATTTATAGCCTCCTGTGAATTCAAGGCAAAGTGTGAAATTGCCCGAGGATGTTTGCGTAAGATCTTTGGGCCTCAGCTAGCCACTTGGAACCAGTTTTGTGGGAATAGCTGGGGGAGGAGGAAAGTGGGGCCAGCCTCCTCCCTGGCTCTGTGGAAGGTTAGGGACAGATCAGAGAACACCTCCTTTCCTTCCCACCCTAAAGTGTGCAACCCTAAGAAAGTTGACTTCATTCTATGATTGGCTTTACAGACTGCCGGAGCGGAAAAACAAATTTAAATAGCTACGTTTCTGACTAATTTCACTGGGTTTTTAAATCCTTTTATCTCCCTTCTGATAGGGGCTGTTGAATTTTATGGAAACACCTGTGATGTAAAGAATTCTTTTATAATGTGAATAGCCACTTCCTAATTTACCTGTTTTCTCAACCACAATCTTGACAGATCTTATTGACTAAATCAGGCTGTATATTTTGAGTAATTGTTGAGGGAGCCCTGGTGGGAGAGTGGTTACGTGTTGGGCTGCAATCCGAATGGTCGCAGTTCTAAATCACTTGCTGCTCCTCTGGAGAAAGACTGGGCTTTCTACTCCCATAAACAGTTACAGTCTCAGAAGCCCACAGGGGGTCGCTACGAGTCTGCATTGACCCAATGGCAGTGAGTTTGTTTTTTGTTTGGTGATCCAGAGTCTAGGTCTACTTTTTTTCTTAAATTATCTCCAGGCCTTCCCAAAGATACTCTCTTTGCCATGCTAGGGTTGTTAGACCCTTGGTTAAACCCCAGAAGTACTTCTGGTTAAACCCCAGAAGTACTTCTGGGGTTTAATCTGAAGCTGAAAGCAGAAATTTCTCTTTTTAAGTTCAATGCCTTCCTCAGGTGGGGATGTGCTCCCGCTTTCTACTTTTCACGTAGTAGATAGCCAGTAAACATGTTAGGTAATAGCTTAAATCATTTTCTGATTACATCCCAAAACATGTTAGGTAATAACTTAAACCGTTTTCTGATCACGTCCCATAACTGTGTTTGAATAACTGTACTGTTTGGTCTTTGCAGCTTGGGGTGTGGTTTTCTCTGGGCTGTGCCTACTTGGCCCTAGAAGACTATGGCGGGTCAGCGAAGGCCTTTCAGCGTTGTGTGACCCTAGAACCCGATGTAGGTTTGTTTGTTATTATTTTCCTTTTTGCCTCTTTACTATCCTCTCAGTTACTATACAAAAAGAAATTTTTCTTTTTGCCTCTTTACTATCCTCTCAGTTACTGGCATGCGTCTCTTGTTCAAAGAGCAACTCCTCTTGTGTTGGAGGGAAGAAAACCTTTGAAAGACGGCTCCGCTTGAAGAGGGCTATGACTTGCAGACCCAGAAGTCAAATGGCTTCTCAGAAGCAACTTATTTTCTTGTTTAAAATTTTATGTCTATGGTTATATTTAGGAAATAATTATGACCATTCCGTTTTTCAGGTTTTATAGTTTATAAAATTTAGAAATAGGTTTTACTGAAGTATACCCCAAAGTATTGCTTGTATTTTTGTCACCAGTGTGATGTCTATGTGAAGTATATTATTGGAAAGTCCAGGAGGTTAACAAAAGTCCTCTTTTTTATTACATGGAGTTATTTAGATATCTTTTATATTTGAGTACCATACAATGCATCCATTTAAAGGGTACAACTCAATGATTTTTAGTATATTCAGTTGTATAACCATTACTACAATCATTTTTAGAGCATTTTTATACAAAAGAAACCCTTGTACCCATTAGCAGTAACTTCACATTTCCCCCCAGTCCCACCTTCCACCACCTTTTGAAAACCAAAGTTCTTTCTATCTCTGTAGGTTAGCCTAGTCTGGAAAAATCTTAAATATATTTATACAGTATATGGTCTCTTGTGACTGGCTTCTTTCACTTAGAAGATTGTCAAGACTCCTCCACTTTGCAACACGTGGTCTTGCGTTCTCTCTGTGCTCTACCACGAACCTGCACTTAACTGTTTGATCAATTTTGACAAAGGCACACTGCTGTCTTAACTTAAACCCTTTCAAAATGTGAGTCACGAGTCTCATCCCAAAAGCTTCCTGTGACCCCACCTTCTTCACCCCATGCTCCCCACCAGTCACAGGCCTTAATGTTTGCACCATGGGTTAGTTCCAGTGTTGCGTATTAGGGAATCCATAAAAAAGTTGCAGCTAACATCATAATGGAAAATTCATTTTTCTTAATGATTTGCTAAGAGGTTTCCTGCTGGATGGATATTAGATTTTGTCAAATGCTCTTTTCCTCAGTTTTGTCAATTAGACAATGATGCAGTTTTTCTCTTTTATACTGTTAATGTGGTGAATTATATTGATGGATTTATGTTTTAAATATATAATTATATATAACTTAAAAAATATATTTTTAATGTTAAAATCATTTTCCATTTCTGAAATAAATGTATGTACGTATGTGTTATTCTTATTATATATTGTGAGATTTAACCTGATAATATATATTTTTAATTTTAATAAATCCTTTTTTGGGGGGCTCTTTCAGCTCTTATAACAATTCATACATCCATTTTGTCAAGCACATTTGTACATATGTTACCATAATCCTTTTCAAAACATTTTCTTTCTACTTGAGCCCTTGGTAATAGCTCCTCAATTTTTTCCTCCCTCCCCTCCTCTCCCAACCTTATGAACCCTTGATAAATTATCAATTATTATTATTTTCATATCTTACACCATCCACTGTCTCTCTTCACTCATGTTTGTGTTGTTTGTCCCTCGGGGGTGGGGGTGTTATACATCGATCATTGTTATTGGTTCCCCCTTTCTTCACCCCTACACACACACACACACCTTCTCCCGACCCTCATGGTATCACTTCTCCCATTACTCTTCTTGAGGGGTCTGTCTGTCCGGGATCCCATGTATCAAGAGCTCTTATCTGTACCAGTGTACATGCTCTGGTCTAGCTGGATTTGTAAGGTAGAACTGGGGTCATGATGGGGGGTGGGGGAGGAAGCTTTGAACAACTAGAAGAAAGTTGTATGTTTCATCGGTGCTATATTGTACCCTGGCTGACTCGTCCCTTCCTTGTGACCCTTCTGTGAAGGGATGTCCAATTGTCGACAGATGGGCTTTGGATCTTCATTCCAACCCTCCTTGTTCACATCGAAATGGCTCTTTGTTTTGGTCTTCTGATGCTTGATAGCTGATCCCATCAACACGTCGTGATCACATGGGTTGGTGCGTTTCTTCCATGTGGGCTTTGTTGCTTCCCTCCTAGATGGCCACTTGTTTAACTTCAAGCCTTTAAGACCCCAGACACTATATCTTATAATAGTTGGGCACCATCAGCTTTCTACACATTAGTTTATGCACCAATTTTGTCTTCAGTGATCGTGTTGGGAAGGTGAGCATCACAGAATGCCAGGTTATTAGAACAGAGTGTTCTTGCATTGAGGGAGGACTTGAATAGAGGCCCAATGTCCATCTACTTCCTTAATTCTTAACATATAAATTATGTTACACTACTTATATTGTCCTATAGGCCTTGATGCTGTATTCATTGGTTGTTTCTGTACTTTTGTTTGGAAAGCTTTTGTTGCTATGTCTTAAAGTTTAGACATTATTAGTTTTTCCTTTCTATATTATCCAATCTGCAATTAAATGTATCCTTTGAACTTACCATTTCAGATCATGTATTTTCTTACTTCTAGAATTTTCAGATGGGTCTTTCCATGTATCTGCAGATATTCTCCAACTTTTTCCTCATTGTGTTCATGTTTTATTTCAAATCTTTGAGCATTTTATGATGATGCTGTTGTTAGGCACTGCCTTTTCTGACTCTTAGTCACCCTTTCACCGGAGAAGGAAGCACTGCTCAGTCCTGCCCAATTTCCACTGTTGGGTTACGGTTGAGCCCCTCATTGCAGCCCCTCTGTCCATCTGTCTCGTGGAGGGTCCTAATGTACTTTCCCAGGGCCTGGTGAGTATAAGGGGCAGCTAGAGATTCCTCCACAGAAGAGAGTTAGAATAGCTGCTTTGAAACCCTTTTATGTTTATTCCAACATCTCTTATTTTTCAGTTTTTCTTTTAACTGATTTGGATGGAATTTTTCTGCTCTTTCCTGTGCGCAGCAATTTATAGGTACTATTGTGGATTTTATGTTGTTGAGTTTCTGGATTGAGTATCTTCACTTATGGAATGTTGGGTTTATTTGGGCACTCACTTGTGGATCAGCTTGATTTTAAGCCATGTTATCGTTGTCTTTGAATTCTCTGTACTTTAGGGTTATAATTACCCTCCTCTAAGCTATAGATGGCTCAAAGATGAATCATTCAACTACTAGCTGAGAAGCTGATGATTTGAACTGGCAATCTGACCTCCTGCAAGGTCAGCCTTGACAGCCCTATGGAGCAGTTCTGCTCTGCACAGAGAGGGTGGCTAGGAGTAGAACTGGGTGGCAGCTAACAAGGTGGAGCCTTTAGGGGATCTGAGCTGAGTGCCACAGGTGATCCGAAAGAGCTCTGTCCTCTGGTTGGGACTTGAATTGCTCCGAGTGCCACCTGCCCTGTAAAATCTCCATTCACGTCACAGCCCCCGGTGGTGGTCCCTCAGGAGTTTGCTGAATACACATGCAGGTTGCTATTGCTTTCAAGGATTCAGGGGTCGCCTATTGATTCTCCTGGCGCCTACTCTGTGCATAGATCCCTTTTCTTGCTATTTTACCCCATACATTCCAGAAGCTTTTTCAGCTTCACCCTGTCTGGGCTGCATTCCTGAACATGACCTTGGGCAGAAGACTCCTTGTGACCCCTCCGTTGTTTTCCTTCTCCCACAGATCATAGGCTGGTAATGTCCGGTTTCAGCTGCCCACTGGCAGGTGTGGCCTACACTTTGTCTAGTTTGTAGATTCCTTTAATAAGAGAACTAGTCCATCATTGACTGTGCTACGCCTGGGGATAGAGGTTCAGTGCCACTTAATATTTTAATCATGTTTAGAGCTTGAGAACCATATACTCTCTGTTTTATAAAGATGGGAACAAAAAGGAGAGCAAGCATAACTTACACCATTTTGGTTAGAATTAGCATTTGGATAGTGGGTTTGACCTATTTTTATCATTGGGAAGAAGAGTTTGTTTAAACAGTGCAATATGAATGCTTAGTAATACCACTGCAGAATGCACATTCACTCCTTCGTTCTGTCTGATGAAGGATGTTCTTCAAAGATAGGGAAAACACTGTTCTTTGTTACCTTACATTTGTAATAAGCATCTATATTAAGTACATTGTGCTGTAAATATGTATAAATATTTTAACTTTCTCATAAAACTTTAAACATGCTTTATTTGAAATTATTGTAGTGTACATATCTCATAGGAAAATTGCTTGTATTTTTTTATTACAGCAATTATTTTACCTAAATGCATATTGTTTGTAACTGAGTTCTCTATTATTTCAGAATGCTGAAGCTTGGAACAATTTATCAACTTCCTATATCAGATTAAAGCAGAAGTAAGTACAAATATGGAGAACTTTGCTTCCAGCTTAAATAATTGAGGTTCTTTCCAGCTCAACACTGAAACATGGTACCTTGTTCTTTTTATCTTTTTCCTTCACCCACCCAGGTCATTGCATTCGAATGCCATAGTATAGCCCTCTGAATTTTAAATCTCTACTTAACTCTTATTTTAAAAGACATATTTAAAAGAGTAGGTGGTATTTTTGTAGAGTACATAGAGTATGCTAGATACTCGCTTTGGCCTGTGAGAATCTTCGAATGGAAAAAATGTGCGATTTTGGGTCAGAAATGCTTCTGAGCAAAGGAATATGGGACTCTAGCTGAAATTTGAAAGGATGAGTAAGCAGGATCGTATTACCAGCCAGGCAGCAGAAATAGTGTGGCCAACGTCAAGAGGGACAGGAACTAATGCAGCGTGGTGGGACGGATGTAAAAGAGGGTAGTGAGAGAAAGGGAGGCTGTGGCCGCACGGCAGAGCGTTCTGGTTATCTGACTCACAAGTTGAGAGACTGCGCCGCTGGCAGTTGGAAGCGCGAGGCTTCAGGGGTCACTTCATGAAGAGGCAGCTCTTTAGGAAACCCTGTCTGGTGGCAGTGTGAGACAGGCTAGAAAGGAAGCAGGAGGCAGGGAAACCAGTTAAGAGACAGCTGTTGTAACAATCCAGGCATGAGATAGCTCGAGTGGAAAGAGGGGCAGATGCCAAACAGTTTATGTATGAAGGGGGCAGTGAGCAGGGTTTGTTGACTAGCTTCAGAAAGTCAAGGAAAAGAGAGTCGAGGCTCATTGTTGCTCGGGCTTTAATAAATGAATATGAGATTGTCCATCTTTCCAATTTTATTTGACTATATTTTCTAACTTCATTTTCCTTTGTGGAATCGCACATCATTAAACCCATTTTACACTGACATCATGAAATGCTTCCTCTGGTCTTGGATGACAGGCTACATAAATAAAGTACTGTTTGTTGTCCTTCTCGTCAGTAGATAATATTATGTTGTTGATTGCAGCTGAGTGTGTTAAAAGTCACTAGAGACCCTTATGGTTTAAAGCAAGGGGCCGGGAAATCCCTATCATACTTGTAGAATGACCTCCGTGCGTTTTCTAGCAGCCATGATAATTTTGTATATAGTGAGGCTCTCTACCTTGTCCTTCAGCCCATTAATCTTATGACTGCTTTGTCTCTTAGGGGTTCTTGCACACTATTCCTCAGCCTCTTTCTGATGCGTTGTTGTCTTCCTGTAGCTCCATGAATAGGTTTTTGTGTAAAAGAGGTGATAAGGTCGAAGGTAAATCACTCCTTTATGCTTGCCTTTTTACTCTTTGCTTTCTTGGCTGCTGTTCCAGGCATGGCCGATTTTTGACTCATGAGATTGTCACTCAGAGGTAAATGATTGCTGCTCCTCTCAAAAGAATTCGATCCATGCCTTATAATGGCCCGTTAAATTATCTCCTTTATCTCTTTGGTATCACAAGTTTCTTCCCTAAAGTTCATCCTTCACCATTTCATCTGATTTTCCCAGGCATGATGTCCCTCGTGACCAGTTCCCTTGGAAAAAAATCCCCACCACAGGCTGTAGGTTTCAGAGTGCAGTAGCTCTACCACGGGGGGTGGGGGGTGGTGATGAGTAAATGAATATTCATGATGCAATGCCTTATAAAGAAGATTTACCAGACAAAAACAGTTAATATTGCAGAAGAGTCGGAGGCTAAGAAATGATGTTGAGTGGC